TTTCTTTTATAACACTTGTGTATTCTGTATGTAACTTAACCATATCACATTTCAATTGTGTATTTTTGGCAATTATGCTAACTATTTCCCTTTCATTATCATCCCTTTCCTTAAGCAACAGTTCACACTGCTCCCTGGACGCCTTAAGTTCTTGGAGCGCAAGCTGGAGTTGGTTCTCCATCAGGCGCGTCTTGGCGTTGCGAGTATTCATTTTACTATTTATTATAAATAATAAAAGAAAACAAAGATCGAAAACAGAAGGAGCAGAGTAAGCTAATGTAAAGTTGTTTTTTTTTCTATTTATAAGTCTCAAATCAAATTATCGTTAAAACAATTCGAAAAGAAACCCGCAAAGAATGTAATAACCCGAGTAATAGAATAAATTTTAAATTTATAAAAGGAATGATATGAAATAAGGATTACAATAATTTTAAAAACAATGTTCGTTACCTGTCACTTTTTGTTCCAACACCAAATTGTTGTTATAATATTTATGTACCAACTTTCTTAAATATTAAATACAAAGCGGCAGTAATTATTAGCTATAACATAAAATTGAGGTGGATATGGTGAATTTACAATATTTAAATTATTAAAATTTATCGGGACCAATTACTTTTACAACTTATAACCAGGGTTGCCACAGCAAAAAAAAGCAATTGCTCCGCTAACGACCACAAAACGTATTTTTAGCCTATAATTTTATATTCCCGACGTTTCGGTTGCTATCCAGCAACCGTGGTCACGGGAAACGTCGGGAATATAAAATAAGTTAATTAAACGCGATAAAATCCGTAAAAATAGTTTTATTCAATGTGTAGTGTTCGCGTAAATATAAGAAATCATTAAATATATAGATATTGAAATATATAGATACAAAACCGGATTTTCATATCCATTACATAGGTGCGATTTGATATAGGGTAAAAGTGATATTAACCTATGCCTAGGTGGGATAGGTATTTGGATCGAGTATTTGTACGGAATCCAATTCCGTAAAAAACGGATTTCAATTCCGGGAATTGAACTAAGTAGTCTTGTGTAGTTCGCGAACGATGAACGATTAGGAAACGTATCTTGCCACTGTACTAGAAGAAACGTTTCCGAATGCCGATTGTTAATCGGTCTAACAGTTCTTTTCGTTCACCTACACTCGCATAACGCCAACGCTAAACCGTGCGTGCGAACTTATTAACCTATTAAGCAAAGCCGCACGCAAACAATTCATCCCAGAATCGGTCAGTAGTCATTCAAGGTAGACATGGCGTTAAATAAAATATTGGATATAAGTTTAATTTTATAGCAAATAAATATTACAATGCTTATTATTAGACATGTGAAGCCTAAATATTAATATAATATATCAAAAGAATACATGTATTGATGTTTTTAAGGAATATTTTCATTCGAATAACATTAGCTCCGTAAACCGCCATCTACTCCATTTTACAGGTATCATTTTATCGAATGAAAGTTAATTGACTCTCAAGGTGGTACGTAAAGAAGACGCTAGATGGCAGAAATACGGGTATAACGGGAATACTTTTTATATAAAAATTATGTGTCACGTTGTTTGTCCGCGATGGACTCCTAAACTACTGAACTGATTTCAATGAAATTTTGCACACTGTGTGCATTTTGGTCCAACTTGATAGATAGGATAGTTTTTATCCCGCTAAATGACCCTCAAAATTTTTATCGCGAATTTAAGGATTTTTATAGGAAGGGTCGTTGGAAAGGACAGAACAACGTCTGCCTGGCGAGCTAGTTTAATATAAAATTACAAATTAGTAGGGTAAGAAATTGATCGTGGATTGTTTTGAATGGACTAAAATATGATAATTTGATTCATTATTAACCATAATATTCAATTATTAAATATTAAATAATTTTATTTTTTAAATAAATATATTGGGAGTCGGCGTAGCTCAGATGGTTAGGGCTCGCTATAAATTTCATAGTACGCGAGCAATCCGGGTTCGATCCCCGATGGTACCAATGAAATTATTAATTGCAATTTTAAGTGCTAATTTACCACGTGCTCGGCGGGGAAGGAAAACATTGTGAGGAAACGTACATGTCTGAGAAATAAGACAAAAAAATTTCGAATTAAAGAAATTTGAATTTATTTTATAACAATTATGTACGTACTGTTCGCGACGGAAAAACATGATTGAAAAATAGTGATTAAAAACAATATTTAAAGTGCAATTATGAAAAGTATTAGTGACAAATCTAAGTGAAAGGTGCAATAGTGTAATTTTACAACATGTTTACAACCCTTAGTATATAGTATAGAGCAGTATAGAGCATGGTTTTGTAATAGTTAAGAAAATAACTCTCATTTGTACAACCATAAAGTCGACCAATCAGAGCGCGACACGTTATAGAACATTCCGGGGATACTGCGTAATATAATAATATTTAATCCCGAAAACTAACATGTTTTTAAAAGTACGCCCGTCCGGCATAAAGTGTTTTACTGTTTTATAGGAGTTTTTATAGGAGTGTTTTGCATTGACTTATAAATAACTAGTGTAGCTTTTTGTTATTGTTTTTATTCCTTTGTTATTGTAACTACATTGGTTTGTGACTAACATTTCATTATTTACTTGTTTTATTTTTTTTACACTATTTTGATTTAAGGGGCTACTCCATGCGAACGACCTTGAGCATTTGACCGGCGCGCCGTTCGCTACAATATTAATACGAGTATATTGTAGCGAGCGGCTCGCCGGAAGAAATATGTAAGACGCCACCTATTGTACGAAAGTAGTATTATTTTTTCAACATCAATAAACTGTTTTATGGAAATACACATAGCGTACAAAGATAAATGTATTTTAATTTTTTTATTCTGTATATATTAGTTGCATTATATTAGAATTATGTATTTTCATATATTATCTAATTATGAAATTTTATAATTAATTATATAAACGGAAGCATTGAAAATTGTGAGTTTAAAAGATACCTATTCACTATAGGTAAATAAATAGATAACTCGGCTTTTGTACAAATATTTGGTGCAATAAAAAATATATAAATACAAAAATCAACAAGAAGTATAAGGGTTCAATCTTTCAATTTCAGTTGTAAAAAAACATTACACCCACACTAGGATTTTCTCCTGTGTCGTGGAGGCAGTTTACAAACATAAATTGCACAAAGACAAACATCCAGACCCGGAACAATTATTTGTAGGCCATACAAATCTTGTTCCATGCGGGATTCGAACCCGCGGCCCCCAGCGCAACAACTGATTGCTAAACCACTGCGCCACCATGAAGCTAATACAAAGACTAACTTTGTATTTGCTTCATGGTCGCCGGGTTATAGCTAAAGTGACCATACGTCCCGTTTTGAACGGGACTGTCCCTTTTCTCGGTCTCCTGTCCCATTGTCCCCAAACAAAGCACCGGGACACAAAATTGTCCCGTAACTCGTTGGATGGAAGTATTCAAAGTCAACAATCTTCAACATAATTTTTTTTAATCGAATATATTTTATGTCTACCTGGTACGAATGCTCCGGTAGAAAGAGTATTTTTTTATTTTGCATAAATTGTGGACGTCTGAAAGAAACACTTACGGTTCCAGAGTTCTAAAGGCGATGTTGTTAACAAAGATAACAATAAAAAACTTGAGCAGAATTTTATTCTTATTTAAAATCATCACCAACTTTATTAAAGCAAATTTAATCCACTGACAAATGTAATTAATAATTAAAAAAAATATGTTGCATTTAATAATTACCGTCTATACCGAATATAATTTTATAGTGAACACTAATTGTATAAAGTTATAGTTTTTAGAGTATAAATAAACCCATGTCCTGTTATGAGTTAAAAAATAAATGGTCAGCTTAGTCTTTTTAGTTAAATTTAGTTTTAAAATTTTTTAGTTTATAGTAAAAAGTAGGTATATTAGTACTTTTTACCGAGATATAAGTATAGAACACCTTATGTACTCAATTATTTTTTGAAAAAGAAGAAAAAACAAGCAATAAATCATATACTATATTTTAGCAAAAAACTATAACTTGGTAATACTAATTATAACTTAGAACATAAATGAAAAACTCATAACTGACTTTTTGGCCCAACCCAGGATTCGAACCCAGGACCTCATGATCAGCAGTCGCACTACTACAACCACTAGACCAACGAGGCAGTAGTATACCTGATAAGATATTGTGGTTGGGTGATAATATTGAATTAGCCTTTTATAGTGTAATGTAAATTATAATATTTGTCGAAATTTTAATTATGGATTTGAACCTTACATGCTAATGGTGCTTCATTTTTTTATTTGTATTTACTTCAAAGAAAATACACGCAAAAATCTTCATCGCGCAGTAAAAAACACAACAAATATATGTATAACTAATACGAAAAATTATACCCAAAACAAACAAATAATACTACCTATAAATAACCTAATAAGTAATAATATTATCGACTCATATGACGTGGCGTATGCGTCGGTCGACGCTCTAACGACACGGGCTTCCCGTCGAAGAGCTCAGCGCTCACTGACTTCATCAAGCCCGTGAGCAGTATATACGCCCAGATTTTAAAATAATTTCTTAATAAAATCAAATTTTGGTCTTTTGAAAAAAATTTTACTATAGAAATGTTCATTAATAAATTGCCTATCCATTGGTGTAAATCGCAAAACAAAATAATACTTACTTTACGAGGAGATGCATGTTATCAATAATAATTTCACATTTATGTGGTTTCGTTGTAAGGAGATTATATTAATATGTATTCCTTTAAAAAAAAATTGGATATAGCTTTTATGGAATCAAGATTATGTAGAAATATAATGTGTTTTTTATTTGTTGATATATCTTTTAAATGAAAAGTAGATAGCTTCTAAAAACCGCCCAAATAACGACTGGCGCGACATTTTGCTCAACCTGCGCCTTAAAGTTTAAACTTTCATTTTGATTTTGATACTTACCTACTTATTATTGATTTATCATTGCCTTTAATGATGTCTCAAGGAAGACCAAAAAGAAGCAACTTGTGGTTTCATTTTAAGGAAGGGACAAACGAAGCTGTTTGCAATTATTTTTCGACGAAATTAAGTACAAAATGTGGTTCTCTAGGAAATCTAAAAAGACATATGGCCACGAAGCACCCGACCATATCTTTGAATATAGTACGGCAGCCTTCTGCTCTTGTAGAAAATCCACAAGACAGCATAATAATAAGGCAAAATCCAAACTCAGACACACCAGCTATATTTAGGCAGCCGCTGAGTGGGCCATCAATTACGAACTTCATTCGGCGACCACCATCTTCGCGAAAGACCGAACAAATTGATAGGCAAATGGTAGCTATGGTGACTAAGGGTCACCATTCATTAAGAATAGTAGAGGAACCAGAATTTAAAAAACTTATTGACTTAGTCTCTACCTGCCCGGGATACCAACTTCCAACAAGAAAAACTTTATCACAGGCGCTCATACCCAAATTGTACACAGAGGTTTATGATTCTTGTTTCCATAATTTAAAAGAAGCCTACGCAGTGTGCCTTTGCACTGACGGATAGACATCCAGTGCTAACCAGAGTTATATAGCAGTTACAGCTCACTATGTTAATAAAAACACAGAAATACAATCGGTTTTGTTAGGCTGTATCAACTACAACGAGAGGCATACCAGTGCTAATTTGATTGTATTTTTAAGACAAATAATGCAAGACTGGCAGCAATCGCACAAAATATGTTGTATAGTCAGTGATAACGCTGCTAACATTTTATCAGCTGTTAGGTTAGGAGAATAGCGATCAGTAGGCTGCTTCGCTCATTTATTGAATTTAATTATACAGGACGGAATAAAAACAATTGCTTTGTGATGTGATTGTTAAAGTTAAAGCTGTAGTGGAATTTTTTAAAAGAAGTTCTCTGGCACAAACAAAATTAGAAGTTGCCCAAAGGCAAATGAATTTGCCACTTTTAAAACTAAAGCAGGAATGTCCAACGCGTTGGAATTCCTGTTACGATATGCTAGAACGTATATTAAAAATTAAAGATGCTGTTATCAGCACCATAGCCCTAATACGAAGTGACCTCAGCCTTCAGACTTCAGAGTGGGAGTTAATTGAAAAAATTGTACCAATTCTTCGACCTTTTTATGAAGTCACCCAAGAAATAAGCTCTGAAAAACATGTAAGCTTATCAAAAGTATTAATATTTACTAAGTTTTTGTCTAAGCATATAGTAAATTGCTTGGCCCAAAACAGTCAACTCACGCATTATATGCTGATACAGCAATTTTGGATCCACGGTTCAAGCAAAAAGCCTTTCGGACTCCAGAAGCATACAACAGAGCCATCGAAAACTTAAGACGCAGAGTTGCAGCTGTAAGAGTCCAGGTAGCCGACTCAAATGTGGTAGAAGGTCACTCTCGACAGGAACCACAGGTAGCTATCGGCACAACAAATAGTATTTGGGAAGAGTTCGATGTTGAAATGAGCCAGGCAACTCGTCCAGAAAGCTCTGTGGCTGCAGGGATAAGGGAATTAGACAAATATCTGCATGAGGAACCCCTTAATAGAAAAAACGATCCCCTCAAATGGTGGCACAGCCGTAAGCATATATATCCTCATTTGTATGAGTTAGTCCTGAAAAGGCTTTGTATCCAAGCCACATCAGTTTCGTGCGAAAGAGTATTTTCGAGTGCTGGGCAAATCGTAACGGACAGACGAAAACTATTGAAGCCCTCAAAAGTTACACAGACGCTTTTTCTGCATAATAATATGTAAATGTTTTAATTTTATTATAATACGGAAAACAACAAAAGTGAAATAAAACAAAAAAATAATAATTGCAATAAAGCTAAAAATTTAAAAAAAAAATTATATAAAAATATATATACGTATATAAAAAAGAAAACATTAATTATTGTACATACATATTTGATTTTTAAATACGCCATTCTAATCTATAGGAAGCTATTGCAAATCACCTAATACAAATCTTTGCTCTCTGCTTAGCCTTTTACCATAATACGGTACGCAGTGGCCAATAAATTTATGTAGGTATAGATAAATATTTTATTGCGATACATAAGAGTGGTATAATATTATCTATATGCTATTGACTAGAATGACAGTCCTAAGCCTGTTCAAGTATGAAAGGAAATCAAATATTATGTCAAATTTATAATATTTTTTATCAAACAACGTTACGAATCGAGCAAATATCGACTCCGACTGAGACTGACTGCATTAGCCCGTTTAAATTGTATAATATCAGGCTGACTGTTGACAGATTCAGTCAGTGACTGACTAAGGTAACCATTCCATACAGATAGATACAATTTAAACTGGTTAGTAGTACTGATGACCGAATAGAACTAATAGAACGAACTAGATCACCAAGACTACATTTATTTTTTCATATCGCCATACGACCCAAGCCTACCTATTAATTCATACTTCATACTGAGTCTCAGGCTCATATCTCGCGGCATATAGAGCCGTGAGGTCCAAAAATATATTTATTTTCCTAGCCTTATATCTATTGTGTAGGTAATTCGCCACAGCAAACATGACAAATATCATTATTTGGAACCTATAAAACACTATCACGATATAAATGATATGTGGCGCCATCTCTCGATAAATAAAGTGCTTCACTAATTTTAACGCGGTGTAACATTTATTTTTCATATGATTAACTAGATTGCTCTAAAGCATAACAAAATAAAATCGTACAAATTCTTAGTCATTGTTAACATGACGAATGTTATTATTTCACCTATGAAACACTATCAAGATATAAATGACATGTGGCGCCATCACTCGATAGATTAGCTCACTAATTTTAATGTGGTGTTACATTTATTTTTTCATATGGTTAACTAAATGGCTCTAAAGCATGCTATAAAATAGAATAGAATATATATATCTTTTATACAATACAAATTATTATAAATAATTTTTATTGAAAATAAAATTATACTTACTTTTAAAACTGTTTCGGAAAAACCCCTACCCTAGGAACTAACTACCAGCGAGAAACTCGGCGGTACTTTTTTATTTTTTTCCTAACTAATATACCACCTGCATCTATCAAAATGCAACATTTCAAATCGACTTAATATTAAAGTGATTCTATAAAACCTTCCTCACTGGCGGATGGACGATCGCAGTACTAGGTTTGAGTATTTTACGATCGATGTGAGATGATTATAGCGTCACCTATTGGAAGTCAATGAGGGCTAATAATCTTCCACTCACCAGATGTCGCTTGTTGTGACTGAGGTAAAGTTTTTCGTTACATAGTGTCAGTTAATTAAGAAATTAGTTTTAAATAATAGTTTATCATTATCTAGAGTATTATATTAATATACAACAAAATGCGTCAGTGGTTTGATTTTTAATTTTTTTGCACTTTATAACTCTTTTTTTAATTTATCTACTTTAAGTTATATTTATAGTTTAGTTTATTTATTTCTAATGTAATTAATAAAAAATATAACTAACAATACGGAAAGAAACCTTAAATATTACATTTTCCTAAGAAATTATCGTCCCCGCTATGAAATCTGTCAAATATTTTACCTCACTGTAAAGTGGCGCCGTCCTGGTGGCAGAAAAAGTTGTGGATGCCCTCATTGACATATCACATAGGCTGAATATAGCCATTTCATTGCTAGCATAGCGACTGAGCTTCCCCATACAGATAGCAGTGAAGGGCCACGCTATGTTAACGTTTTCATTTCCCCTGGAATTGCAGTTGTCCATGGGACGGCGGTAATCATTTACCATCAGGTTAGCCGCATGCTGATTTTCTGCCTCTTATAAAAAAATGTAAGCCATTATAGTCCGGTCAAAAAAGACATTCAAGGTTATAATATCACATAGAGCTGAAAAACTAGAGCTGTTACGAATGTTGGGAACACCATTATAAATGAAACGTGAAAAGTACCTACCCATCGAACACACATCTGCAAAAAAAATTCAACGTACGCAAAAATGTTTTTTTGAATTTTTCAGTTAAATGGTAAGTTATATCATAAAAATAGTTAAAACAAAAAATGTAGATCACGCAAATATCTGTACAAATTGTTCTTACAGTTTTTCCCTTAGAATCCCCTTTCTGAGATATAGCGATTCAAAAAGTTGAAAAGTTTTATTCTTACGTAGTACTACTATTAATTTATTCCGTGATAATACGCACACTTTTCCACGCATCGCGTTCGCCGATTTGTGGCATGACCTCCTACAATGCGAGAAGGCTTATGTTCAGAATTGAACTCTTAAGATTTGACAAACAATGTGGAACTGTGTACTCTTTTGGAGGCAGAGTATTTTCATGTCTGCATTGAACTGACTTTGAATACAAATATTGTTGAAAACTTGAAGCTGCAGTACGGAATAACTTTGTGCGTTCTTTTATTTGTAGAATAAGGGTCACAAGCGATTACACGGCCATCTGATGGTAAGTAGATGCTGTGGCCCATAGACATCTACATCTACCCTCGATTAAGAATCAAAATGCAGATGCGTTGTCACCCTTGAGGACTAAGATGAAATGCCTCGTATCCAGTAGCCTAACCAAAAACACCTATTGAGGTCCCTAAATTCATTGAAGCCTAGAATTTGAATTTGATTAATGCTTATGGTTATACGAAAAGTAATTTTGAGATAAGACTTATTATATAGCTGTGGATGCAGGACACCCTTGTTGATGGTGTTTTTCAACAGATGTTGCTCAAGGTTGTACGGCTATATCAAATGAAGGACTGGGTTTCTTTCGAGTTTTTATTCTTAGAATTGTACAATTTGTACAATCCTGAGACCGGACTAAATCAGCTTGGTCGCGTTCGGGAAATTGCGACAAATCTTCTTGTTGGAGTCACAAATATATCTTTACAAAAAAGTGGGACGTATATAATCTGTAATAAAATAAAATATTTATGATTAAAAACAAAATAATTTTATATCAATTATTTGTTTGTAAGTTAAAGACCTTGTTGCTTAGTTTTCAACCTTTTCAATTGGATTCAACTGGATTGGTAAAGTAGCAATAAGAATCTTACAATACATTCCCCTTCCCTTCCGGACCGCATACAGAGTGCTCGTGTACACAAGACCCGCGTAATTTTAATTTTATTTATGTCAAATAATTGAATTTAAAGTGTTAAAAGGTGTGCGATACTAGGAGTACATAATCTGAGAAGTGGCCGAAAGTACTGTGTCATATTGTTCTAGTCCATTGTGCTGTAGCAAACATCAAAAGTGTCGTAGCGTGCTACGAGTCGGCTCCACCACAGTAAATATATAGTAGGAACAGTACGGAAACTTCCTACAAACGCTCGAAACGGCACACTCACACAAACATGCGCAACGACGAGACTTCTAAGCGCTCGTCGCGGTGCTCTCAGTAGCGAGTGTCGCTTCAAGACTTTAAAAATGCCACGAACGTATTGCGTAATATACGGCTGTTTGAACTCGGCTTCATCAAAACCGGAGCTATGTTTTTTTAAGGTTCCTGCTGATTTTAGAAAGGTAAGAATGATTTTTATTGTCATTTTTATAATCGTTATCGAATTATAAGTCCGTGTGATCGATCATAATGAATTCGTGAACTTATTGTACATCCAGAATGCGGCGGTTTTGAAGCTATTTAAAGCTGATAGTATAATAGTGGTAACAAAAAGTAATTCCAAGATGGCGGCTGCAATAGGTATAATTTTTTTCGTCATGGGTGCCATTTTCATGGGTTTCGAGGATGTTGAAGCCGATAGTGCTGTCGAAATATAAATCCAAGATGGCGGCTGCAATAGGTATCATTTTTTTCGTCATGGGTGTCATTTTCATAGTTTTTGAGTATGTTGAAGCCGACAGTGCTGGTTGAAATGTAAATCCAAGATGGCGGCTGCAATAGGTATCGATTTTTTCGTCATGGGTGCATCGATCACTAATAAAAAATATGGGTGTCATTTTCATGGTTTTCGAGGGTCTTGAAACCGATAGTGCTGTCGAAATGTAAATCCAAGATGGCGGCTGCAATAGGTGTCAATTTTTTCGTCATGGGTGTCATTTTCATGGTTTTTGAGGGTGTTGAAACCGATTTTTCGTTGTTGCTTTAAAAAATAACACATAAACTGCAAAGTAGCTAATCTAATTTACAAAAAAATAAACAAATTCGGTTTCATAGTACCCGTTCCTTGTTTCCCAAAAGTTTATTTAAAAAAAACTGTTCATTAGAATGATATTTTTTTACACAGTTAAATTCAATAATAAAGAATTCCGAACTTGTCGTAGCAGACGAAAATATTTTTCTGTAAATAATTTGTAATAATCTATACAAATAAATAAAATTGAAGTGTCTGTTTGTAATGTCAAAATAACAGCTTTTTACTAAATGCATATGAAAGTAAATACGGTACTTATAACTAAATAACAATTTTTAAAATTTTTGTCTGTCTGTCCGTCTGTTTGTTCCGGCTAATCTCCGAAACGGCTGGACCGATTTTGACGGTACTTTCACTGGCAGATAGCTGATGTCATAAGGAGTAACTTAGAATACTTTTATTTTAGAAAAATAATTAGGGGTCGCGAGGAACAGATAGTTTATAAATATAAGAAAATTGCGAAAACCAATACACACTAAATTAAACTTCTAAGACAAACTACTACCTACTTAAATATATATATTAAAACATAAAGAAAACTATACTTTTATTTGAGAAAAAGAATTAGGGTTCCGCGCTAAAAAATAAAAACACCCTAACACGCGAGCGAAGTCGCAG